GCACCAGTCGGCGGTAGCAAAGACAATCGCTACAAATTATCAAATATCCTCCACAAAATTCCGGCTGTCACATTTTTTGATAACTAGCGGTGAAACTTTTATGCGTTAAATGACCTGAAACGTTTCATTAAAAATTTTAAATTGACTGTAATCCATTTTTAAACAATTATAAAGGATTTTAATTGATTATAATCTGCATAAATTGATTGCAGATATATATTTTTAAATTGGAACACTTGATGCATTTACTGCCTACTTCTTTTTAAAAAGTTATAACCTAGTATTTTTGAAGTACGAAACCTCTCACACAATAAACACTCCCTATATCTAACCCCCTACCACCCCCCCCCCCCCAAAAAAAAAACCAAATTATCACCTGGAGTATCATCTGGATTTGAAACTAAAAACAAACAGGCCAAAAACTGATCCGGCTTTTAGCAAAAATGCATTGCATTCATTTTTAATGTAAAAAAAGTGTTTGTCATACTTTTTCATACAATTCCATGCGTAGATAAAAAGGAAATAAAAGTCTATGATCTGAAAACTGCGTGATACGCGTTTTTCTATATAAAAAAACTGTACGGCAATCATTTTCCCATAATAAAATTTTCTGGGAATAGTATGTTTGTTATAACATGTTTTGAGTTTTGCTTTAAATTGGCAAAAACGCACAAGTTATAATAATATAGATGAAAATATAGGCAAAAATAGGAGACTAAAAAAATTCTAACCAATTTTCTAACAGCTTTCTAACCGAGGAATAAATTTCAACTTACAACTTGACGTTTGTTTTGCAGAAACAACGGCTAGTTTTTGAGTTTTCTGAAAAGTTTTTAGTATTTTTCTGGCAAATTTTAGAAAAAAAGCTAATATAATCCATTATAGTTGATTTAATTGACTTGAAATGATTTACAAGTTTAAAATATAAAACCACTATAATCCATTTAATTTCAACTGTAATCAAACGTTTAAAGGAGAACGATTTCAATTATTATCGACGGAACACCACCGGAAATCCTATTTAAATTTTATATCGTTTGTTAGCTGTTGCATTTCATCTGAATGGTGACCTATCATGTCCTCACAATGGCATTTTTGCTGACATAGTCCGAGAATTTTTTTTTGGCATAGCTCTCTGTATTTTTGCTTTTTAATAATATAGTGTTGGTTTTGATTAAAGCAGCCTAAGTGACTTTAAAATTGAACGTATTGAAGAAAAAACAGTTTTAGTGTATGAAATACGTAGCAGCATACAGTGCTGTTTTAAGTATCCGGACATAACGCATCAAGCTTGAAGTTTAAAACGCGTTTTTCTCAAATTGAGTTGACATTAGGTGAAAAACAAGGTGGCAAAAAACTTTCTTATAGAATTTTAGCAGAGTTATCATGGGCATTTTTTGCAAAACTCAGGCACAACATATTAGTCCAAAAATGGATCATTTTTTGGCTTTTTGTATTCAATCAAAAATTACGCTAAAGCTACGTAGTCGATCGCTGGCATAATTATGTCAAAGTGAGTCTCCTACATAGCCCACCAACTTTTAAATTGGGAATTTATTTTAAAAAATGCGCAAGACTTTTAAGACTGTTTCAAATAATAATTTGGTTACACATTGTTTTTGAGATTATACTTTGCTCTAAGTTTGCTCAGCTACGCGAAAGACTCACTTTATATAATTAGTTCTCGAATACAAATTTTTGGCGAAGTTCCTGTTGATCCACTTTTGGGTTACATTTTGGGCATGAATTTCACATAGTGCATCATAATAAATCTGCCTAAGATCTAGTTCAATATTCTCTTCATCGTTTTGAGAAAAGCTTGTTTTACATTTCAAGTTTATGGGATTTGTCCGGGTAGTTTAAATCAAAACTGTACTGGCATTGTGTAACACGATAAAACCATTAAAATACTCAAATTTATCGTTAGATCACACGAGATCTTTTATGCTGGAAAATGCTTTATAATTTTGAAAGAAAGAGCAATTTCTAAAAATATTCCGTTACTTTTGTATCGAAAGTCGGAACAACAAGGAAAATCGGACAAAATCAATTTTGATTGATCTTTGCGAAAAATTAAAAATGAAAAAAGGAATTGGGAAAAACTTCATTATTTTTTGGTCCGAAATGAAAAGGTTATTTACATTATTTTTTAAAAAATAATACGTCATAATTGTTTTTTTGTGCCATTTTTCTAAATAACGATTTTTTCTTTCGAGCTTAGCGTTAGTGGTAAACTTTCAGTTTTTCTAAGACCATGGATTACTTGAATGGGAAAAAGTACTCAAAACGATTTATTTACAAACAAATTTCAGTGTTTCTGTACGATTGATGATGAAAACTAGGTCTTATAAAATGTAGTCTTGAAACAACCTGAATTCATTGAAATACTCTTTTTTTTCTTATGCCTTATAGAAATGTGTGCCTTTGTACTTTCATGCAAAGTTGAACAAGACTGCTCGTATCAGGGCGAAGCCCTGAATGTTCCGACTGCCTTTAAAGGTTTATGGAGCAGCAGTAATAAAATGAAAAATTAAATGAAATAAAACAAAATGAAATTTTTTTTTTTCTAAAATTTGAAATTTTTTATGGAAATCATCTCCCCACACGCCATGTAAAGTACAAAAAGATAGATTTCGTTCCGTGTAACAAATCATATATGGCAAATGCACTTAGTTCAACCAATTTGGAACGATTTATAAGACGGATTAAATCTCCGCTTACGCGATAATAGCGCGAAATATATCGCGCGTTAATTGTCCCAAATTGGTCAAAATGGCCAAAATGGCAATCTTTAAACCCTCATAACTTTACGAAAAATGATAACAGGTGAAATATTTTTTCAAATATGAGCTCAGGACAACAATAGCTTTCGAATGATATAAAAAATTCCGTCAAAAAAGGCTAGTTAAAAAGTCGAACTTTGTCTGAAGAAAAAAAAAACCCACTCCGAGCACAAATATTCCGTTACTTTCGTATCAAAAGTCGGAACAAAAAAGACTCAACCATCAGCCGAATTGCTTGAAAGTTTCAGCTTGCTATACAGTAAAACAACAGCAATTGTTTCATTTTTTAAATGACAGTTTTTATGGTTAAATTTTCTTCAAAACAAAACATAGTAGATCAGGAAGACTTGATTTGCTTCTGGAAATTGAATACTGCGTGAATAGCTGCCCTAACTTCTGAACTTGTTGTTCCGACTTTCGATACGAAAGTAACGGAATATTTGTGCTCGGGCGGGTTTTTTTTTCTTCAGACAAATTTCGACTTTTTAACTAGCCATTTTTGACGGAATTTTTTTTAAATGATTCGAAAGGTATTGTTATTCTGAGCTCAAATTTGAAAAGATATTTAACCTGTGATCATTTTTCGTAAAGTTACGGGGGTTTAAAGATTGCCATTTTGGCCATTTTGACCAATTTGGGACAATTAACGCGCGATATAATTCGCGCTATTAACGCGTAAGCGGAGATTTAATCCGTCTTATAAATTGTTCCAAATTGGTTGAACGAAGCTTATTTGCCATAATTGATTTGTTACAAGAAACGAAATCTATCTTTTTGTACTTTATATGGCTTGTGGGGGGATGATTTTTATTTAAAAAAAATTTCGAATTAAAAAAAAAAATTTAATTTTATAAATTTTTTATGTTATTACTGCTCCATAAACCTTAAAAGGCAGTCGGAACATTCAGGGCTTCGCCCTGATACGAGCAGTCTTGTTTTCTTTTTAAAATTTCTTACTTTTAAGCGCCAGAGCTGTCTGTAAAATATCCAAACTTATACCCATAAAATGTAGTACCTTGTAATATTCTGAGATTTGAAAGTTCAAACACTAAATCAAACTATTGCCATCATTACCATCATTCCAACGATTTCAAACTTTTGTCAAAAACGACAAAAACAGCTTTCTGATGGCCTTCCAAACAGAACATAAGGTTTGTTATTTTCCGCAATAACTAGTTTTAGTGATTGCACGGCTCGTAAATAATTGCTTAACATAATTTTTATCAAGAAGTAAGTTCTATCAAAAGACCTATCAAAAGTTTCTACGTAGGGCAAAGCATTCAGTACCTAACTCAAGTTCTTCTTAAAACTTTACTTGACATTTCTGTGAAGGCCTGATTACTGTTCCGATCATTGGAAATGGGGAGACATTGTATTCTGGTGTACTTTGTGTGGTTCTTTCCCGCAAAATCAGATATCTCAGATAATCATCATATTGGGCTGAGTGATTTATCAAATTTACGCTCTTTTAGTCGTGTTGACATGAAAATTTGTTAAAAATTGTCCCAGTGTCGAGAAAAACATACTAAGCTTTAAGATAATGAAACATGACAAAAAAATGAAAAAAAAAAGAAAAAAATAACTTGACATTGATTATTCGAGCAATGAACTTTATTTTAACTTCGACTGATCGATAAATGAACAGCAAACAATCTTCAGAAACATTTTTGGACAGCAAAATATTAAAGAAATTATATAATTAACAAAGAGTGTGACATGGACAAACATTCTTTTTAAAATTTAAGTCAATTTCAAGCTAATAATCTGCTTTAAAATTACAAAGCAAAAATCAACATGCGTTATACCCCCAACCATTTTTTTTGCAGTTGTATACTTCATGAAGATTCAAGAATCACTTGCTACATATATATCGTTTTGACAGCCCCTTCGCTAAATCTGCCTCGAAGGCATACAGACAAAAGTAAGGTGGGTTATACCCGCGATCAGTCTCGAACACTGAAGTTAAGACAGTAGGAGCACTATACCCGCGAACCTCTAAATCTGATTTTAAATCTGGTTTTTGAATAGAAATATCAGCATCGTGGCCTCTAAAATGCCCCCACTTACCAAAAAAAACCGAAAATGTTCCCCAGGATATCAGAGAATATGTTGGAGGCATGTGTCATAATTGTTTGTGTTCCTGTGATTAACAAATCTTTCAAGTGCAACTGCGCGAAAAACGTGAAAAAGGATGAATTTTATGGCTAATTTACTAACCTGATGGACGGGAAAGCAAAAACAAGAAAAGAGGAGTTGGCATAACAACCATTCAGCATTTTAATAAAATCAGGGCGGCCTAACTTAGTTGCCCTTGTTTTGCTAGAGTAGAGAGGTAACAATCACGACAGAAATAATAATACAAAATCAATAGTAGCAGGGCCAATTTAGCTTTGTTATGTGGACTTGATATAATCCGGCTCTATTTCTAATTTGATGCCAACTTTGTTGTTTTTCCGCTGCGAGACTCGAAACATCCGCACTTTGGTAATCCAGAGAAACCATGGTAAAGGTTGCATAAGTTGTGTTGTTGAAAAATGGGATTGTGCGGTAACAACAAATACATATTTGTGTGTTAGTAGTTATGGTGCTGGCAGCAACATTAAAGTTGGTCCTTCAAAAGTGCCCATACACTCCGCGGAGGCTCTTGTTCTTTCTCGTAGTTTAGAAGAAATTATTATTATTTCACTGATTTTTGTTGCTTGCTGGGCTAAAATTATGGTGAATGAAAGCACGGGTGACCCAGATACAAAAAAGTAATAGAGAAAAGAAATGAGAAAAAAGAAAGAAAGAATGATAGATACAGAAGAGGAGGATTGAATTGATTGAGCTAGGAGGTCCGCAGTTTACTTTAATGAAGCGACTTGAAGTGACTTTAAGACTGGTGAGCTGCGCAGCATCAGTAAAAAAGCCACACAAAAGAGGCCCTCGGCTGAAGTAATCAATTAAAATTAAGTGCTGCTGCTACCAAACCAAAGATGCCCCCTTACCTTTACAGTTTTCCCTTATTACACAAAGTGCCAACTCGTCCACTTTCTATGAAGACAGCAAAAAGAGGGGAAAAAGTTTTTTTTTCGCACCAACAATCAGTATCAAGTTTGAAATTTTAATACGTTTAATCTATCAGCCGCTACTTTTTCACAGTAAAATTTTTCAACAATTTTTATTGGATACTAGCAAAGAAATTTAGGCTTTTACGGGGCAAAGTTTTCAAAATCAAATTGTTGTAGCTGAACGTAACAAATAAATTAGGGCATGACGTTGTTTTCCATTAAATTGATCATTTAAAAAATGAAACAGATTTTCCAATTAAACTACTTTAGTACAATCATAACCAATGTTGGGTCATTGAGGTAAAATTTTTGAAAGTCCTATCCGATTGCAAGCTGTTTTTGTGAAAAATCGAATTGGTGCAATAAAGTCATGGGCGGAGTCTGATATTCGTTCTGCAACGAATCTCACGCACTATTCCACAAAAAACTTGAGGGCAGTAGCGGATTTACGGGGGGGACGTTCCCCCTTCCCCCTTCTCAGGAGTTCGAACCCCTGCCGATCCAAATGGTGCCCCTTTGTACTATTTTGAGATATCCATTTTTGGCTGACGGACCCTAAAACTTTTCTATAGGCGCCCTAGGCGCCAATATGTATTAATTTTCAGGGTTGAAGAGCGCGTCAAAAAAGGATTTTTTTTGTCAACATTTTTTAAAAATTGCTCAAAAATGCCTTTTTTGGACCGTTTTTTTTCCTACAAATTTTGCTAAAACGAGGTCATTTTTGTGCTTTGGGAGAGCTCGGAAAATGAATTTGGTCAACTTAAAAAAATTTCGGTAAAATTTTGGGAGTGTTTTTTGTTTTTTATGGAAACCCCCCCCCCCCTACTCCAGAAAATCCTAGATCTGTTCCTGTATAAGAAGTTTCGAAAAATTGCAATAAGAAACAGGTCAAGAGAACAATGAAATATATGTACTCCTACTTTTTAACTGTCAATAAAGAAACGTTACTTGTTACCGGAGTGGTACGTCAGCGCTAAGAATGGAAGTTTTACGTGGGCAGATAGACTATCAGTGGGTACTCAATGTGCCCTTTGTCTATCAGCTTCATCTGTAAAATGTTGGGCCTAATTTTAATAAGCATAAATTGTTTAATCATCTGTGAATTGGAAAAACGAATTTCTTTTTTCTTGATGTCTTCATTAATTCTGATATGCATCGCGTTTTTTTTCCTGCGTAGTATGAACAAGAACCAAGCCGACCTGCAATTTTACCAGACACCCGCTTGAAAAGATCAAAAGCTGGTTTTCCAGGGCTGCATAGAGCTGATCAAAAAGCTCAGCTAACTGAAATTGGGAAAGACTGAAAGAAAATGAAGATAAACTGTATAAATCCAAGTTTTAACAAGGATAGCCGGTTAAAACAAATAGCACAGAAAGTTCCGACCATAGTCTTAGAATTTTTTTTCAAATTCGCAGTTTTTTGTGTGCGTCGTGATAGTAACATCTGAACGAAAATAGAAATTAGGTATAATCGACAATCAAAGTCAAATAGGCCAATTGGAAAAAAATTTCTGTGAAAAAATTGACTACAAAAACGAAAAATAAAAAGTTTTTGATTCACAAAATGGCGCAAAACATTTTTAAAACGAGTTTTACTAAAGTCTCACGGCTCAAATAAGCTATTGTAAGCCTGCAAACTTTGCTTTGATAAACCTTATTAGTTCGAAACTAGACCAAAAACCGAAAATCTTAAGCCGGTTTTTCTCGACAATGACAAAAAGTTTTCGAATTTTAAATATGTTCGAATCACGACTGATAAGGCTTTAATATGGTGTATAACTCGATCCTTTCCGATGATTATTTATGGCACCTGATTTTGCGCGAAAAACAAAAAAACTTAAACACCCGGCGACAAAGTTCCTCCACATTTTTCAAATGATCGAAACCAAAATTCCACTGATAATTTGAAGCTCACTTAACTTAGTCAGAGAAAAACTGAACAAAGGAAACATTTTAATTCAATAATAGTTATTTAAGTTATATAACAAAAATGTTAAAGTTACGAAAAAAAACATACAAAAAATATGCAAATTACGCAAACTCGTTAATGTGTTGTAAGTTTTCGGCTGGCTTATCTACTCTGCGTATTTTCGCTTGGTTTAAACTTAATTGCTCATATTTCACAATTTTTAAGGCTCATATTTAAGAACTTTTTGAAGAAAAACGGAAAAAAAGAATGAGTCTTAATTAAGATGGCCGCTTTGTTTTGCCAACTCTAATTGTAATTTACAAATTTTCTTTTCTTACTATCATCAATCCAACTTTGTTGTAAGAATTTTCTTTTCCATTTTTCATCATTTAGGGGTGGGGGATATCATCGAAAAACCCTAAAAAACTACCCTAATTTAGCAGTAAGTTTTTTCTTGCTTCGAATGGACCGAGAAATTTTTTTCTCTATCCAAACTATAATTTGGCAAGCATAGAATAAAATTTGTAAATGAAATTTTTTCAGCAATTTTTCAGGACTAAAATGTCTCAGCTTGAAACTCTTTTTTCAAATTTTAGATAACACAAATTGAGCGTAGATATAGTAGTACAAAAAATAAAAGGGAATATTAACCAGTGCATAGCAACTTTCATCAAAGTATAAATAACGTTACGTGGTTGCAAAACTTCAAAAGGTCTTAATCTGATACAAGTTACCTTACATAAGATCTGAAGACTACGAAAGTGATTTTTTAAAAATAGCAATTTGCTGGACATATTTCACAAATCGTTTCATTTTGAAACCGTTCCATTCTCTCTTTTCAAAAATTGGATGAGTTTAGAAAAAAAAACAGAATAGCCGGTTGCTGAGCAAGTACAACAAAATGTAGAATTTTCTGTTGCACTTGAAGGAAAAAGTTTTTTTCCTTCAAAATCTTATAAAGTTATTGGAATTGGCAGATTCGACAACAATTGACTTGGATGAAAATGCACAGGACTTAAAATTGGAGAGGAAAAAGATCAAAACCAAACTTTAAAAACTTTTTCTAAATTTGTTGCACATAAATTTTTTCTTCTTAGAATTTTTTTTTTGCCAAGGAAGTTCTGGATGAAGATTTTGATTTTAGGCTGCTCTTCAAAATCAATTTTTTCTAGTCTGATGGCCAATTTTTTTAAACTAATATTACTCAATTGCTTTAATCGTTCAAAAATAGACTAGAAATGAAAAAAAAATCTAACTGGTTTTTCTTACCAACGAACTTTTTTTTGAAAAAATGTCGTTCGACTCTCAGCCGAATGGGCTTTACTATGATGTATCACGCAATCAGTTCCAATATTTGTTTATGTTAGTTAACTGGAAAGGAAAAAAACAAAGACAAAAAGAAACTAAAACATTCGAAAACGAAACTTTTTTCCGGTTTCAACGATCGCGACACAAAAAATGAAAGAATTTTTTACTTAAAAAGTTATCAGTCTTTTTGGGGCTGCGAGGTATGAGTCGAATTGACTGAAAATATCCTACGGATGTCACGGCGAGGGGCTGAATGGTCTCACTGCACTTATGGTTGATCAGCTCATAAGGTGAAACATCTTCAACATTAAAAAATTTTTTTTTCTTATATCACACTCTACACGTAAACATGGATCTCTTCATTATAACTTTGCCTGAATTCATTTTGAAACAACAAAAAAATTTCCTCTGACGTTTGTTACAAGAACGCGAATTATCGCGCGTTAAACATGCCATTTAAGCAAAATTTAGTTCCTCATAACTAAAAAAAAGCGCAGGTGTTTTTTTTTAAATACTCGCTCTGGACAACTTATCAGCCGTTTAAAAGTTTCATCAAATAGTTTTTGTTAAAAAAACAAAAACTGACTGAAATTAAATCACCCTATGCCTCAGTATTCCAAAAGAGAAAAATTTGACAGTATTTTGACAGAGAAAAATATTGAATTTTACTTGGTTTATTTCTTTTTTTTTGTTGTAAGCTCATACAATTTCATTGAAGTGTGCTTAAGTCCTCAAGCATATAAGGCTTTCTTTTACATATATTTGATAAAAAGGTATGTGGGTATCTGCTGTGTTTGTGTGTGTGTTGCTTCAATCACAGTACAGTTGCGGGTAAAACTTTTTCTCTCTTTCGTGGGTACTAGTTTACTTGTTTGGTCCCGTGACAAAACTAGTTTAGATGTTTGGTCCCGCCTGTTTTCTAAACAGAAGAGTCAGCACGGGATTTACCCTACGTTTTTGAGTTAGTAACCGGATTCGTACCCGCTAGACAAACTAGGCCCTTTTCGAGAGCAAAACAGAAAAATAAAGATGCGTACTGTTAGAATTAGCCACATACTGTACCTTGGTTATTATTAGGGACCACAGCATTTTTGAGGGACCAAACAAGTAAACTAGTACCCTTTCGTGTCTGAACTTAAAACGCTTTTCAGATACCTATAGATAATTATACCCAACGACTCCAGAGGAATGTGAATAAATTGAAAGATGTAACAAAGAAAAATTTCTTCGGCTTTTTTGGATCCTTTTTTGCTTCAACTCACTTGATGAAACAACCTCATGAAAAAAAAGTTTCAGTCTATGACACGACACGGGTACAGTTTTGCAACCGACATTTTCCCTTGTGTAAAATTATCTTTGGTTTGTACTTTAGAATAAGAGAAGATCCAAGAGTTAATTTGAGAAGATCCAAGTTAACTTGCACGAAATCCCGACATTTTATTGCGTCACACTCGCACATGAACATAATAACTACTCAAGAACGAGCTTATTTTTTAAAATTTTATTTGTGCGAAACGTATTTAATAGCAAATTTAGTTGCTCAAGACTTTAACATAACCATTGCTAACACATTTCTGTTTTTTCGCAAAAAAACAACTGCGACCCATGTTGCGACTTTGTGCGACTCATGGTTCGACAGCGTTCGACTCATGGTTCGAGCCGGTTCGACTCTATCGAACCTGTTCGACTCATAATTCGACCCTGTTCGACTCATGATTCGACCCTGTTCGACTCATGATTCGACCCTGTTCGACCCATGATTCGACCGCGTTCGACTCATGATTCGACCCTGTTAGACTCATGTTTCGACCCTCTTCGACTCATGATTCGACCCTGTTCGACTCATGATTCGAC